GAGGCCCGCAAGGGAAAAGAGACAATGGGAGACCACTGCCACGATGGGAAGATAAGATCAAAGGAAGAGATAAATGGGCGAGGAGGCATTTACCCAATCTAGGGTTCTATATTGCCCAACATTGTACCTTTCTACCTGTATTCCTTGGTGGGAAGAGATTGTTACTAATGCGGAGTACCAGTCCCATTGCTAGCAATGTACCCTATCAGGTCGACCTCCACGTGGTTTCCCTTGGAAATCATCGTGCTAAATTCCACACCTATTCATCACGATTGACTAACTGACCTGTCTTTTAATCCTCACCTATCATGAGTCCCTGGTACCTCGCCAGCGTTTTTTTTTTTTTATACACTTTGAATGGCAAACAAGCTGACGGCCCACCTGATGGAAAGTGGTAACCGTCGTCTATAGACATGAGCAGTACCATGGACATAACAGAGTATACTGTTTCGCCCATGATACCCCCCATGCCTTGCCATTCCTGAGGACTCAGGTGTTATTCCTCCATACCGAGGAAATTCACGCCATATCTCTACCTTCAAACCGAAACACAGCCATGCAAACACAATTGCTTTACGTATTCATTACGATGGGTTAAGTGACCTGTCTTTTCATCCTCACCTATCATGCTTCCCTGGTGCCAGCGTATACCGCTAGCGCAGGCGGGCATTGTTTTCCTTATCATCGCCCATTGTTTTCTCATTGTGATTATTTCTTGTAATTGTTTATATATTGGTTGCTTGAAAGAGATCGCTCTTAGCGATAAGGTAGCCCATTGTTTTCTCACTGTGATCATTTCTTGTAATTGTTCGTATTTGTAATAAGTTTACTATTGTAATCTTTTGGAGGAAACAATAAAGAGTATCTATCTATCTATCTATCTATCACCAATTAAAAAACAACCGTATTCCTTCTATGAAAAAGTTGCACAGCTGTGTTTCGATTTGAAGGGTGGGGATACGGCCGTGTACATTACAGAAGCATGGAGGCAGGGAAAAGAAATATATTTCTTTCTAATACGTAATTATTTTAAAGTGAAATTGTGTACACAATAACAGAAATAAATAAAATATTTCAGTAAAATAAAGAAAGGAGTTTAAATAAGCTGGTATTTTAATAATTCGTGGAGTAACTTTAGCTGAAATAGTTCTGTCGCCGCCAAAAGGCAAAGCGGGCGTAAATCTTATCTGAGCAAACGTTTACAAAAAGAATTCATCAAGTATTTTAAAAACCGCAAACAAGACAGGTCGAGTTATTTTTGTTTTAAAATCTTCATACTTTAAAACTTAAAACAAATGTAGTTTCTAAATTCTGTTTTAATTCAAAGAAGTTATAACAGTGAGGAAGAAACGACGCAGCACTTTTTTTTACTTGATGGAAAGTGGTAACCGTCGCCTATAGACATTAGCGGTACCATGGACATATAAAAAAATATACTATTTCGCCCATGATACCCCCCACGCGTTGCCATTCCTGTGGACTCAGGTGTTATTCCTCTGTACCCAGTAAATTCACTGCCATATCCCACCCTTCAAACCGAAACACAGCCATGCAAACACAACTGCTTCACGGTAGAAACACGAATGCGACAGAGGTGGCCAAGCAAACGACTTTTGTACAAAGTCTCCCTCTGGTAAATATATATATATATATATATATATATATACATATATATATACATACATAAACGATATATCTCCTTTGGAAAACGCACTCTAGAAAAAACATCGCTACAAAAAACATCTTAAAATTCCTAACACCGATAAAAATTACCTGCGAACTTTAAAAAGGGCCAGCGCAAAAGATCGTGGAAAGGCTGCAGTGTCACAAGTTTTTCTGCTAAAAAAATGTCCGTTTTTTAATAATAAATACATAGATAGTACATGAAAATCTAACCAAGGAATTGTCACAGAAGCGCTCTCTAAACGGTATCCTTTAAATCGACTTTTTGCTCATTAGTTTTTAGGCGTAAATTTCAGGAGTAGCAAATCTAACTAAGTATACAACTTTTAGATGGCGTACCGAGATAAAACTGCGTCTTTATTTCATTTTTCTATATACCACTGAGGTGGCAAACAAGCATACGGCCCACCTGATGGTAAATGGTTACCGTAGCCTATGAACGCCTGGTATACCAGGGGTATTACGCGCACGGTACTGACCCTGAAGAAACCTCTTTACCCCCCTTTACTAAGATAGATAGATAGATACTCTTTATTGTTTCCTCCAAAAGATTACAATAGTAAACTTATTATAAATATAAATAATTACAAGAAATAATCACAATGAGAAAACAATGGGCGACCTTATCGCTAAGAGCGATCTCTTCCAGGCAACCTTTAAGCTTCTTTAATGGATGATAATGGAATGGTAACCCTGCCTACACTATCGGTACACGCTGGCGGGGCACCAGTGAGAGATTATAGGTGAGGATGAAGCAAGTCAGTTAGCCCACCATGACGAATCTAACAATAAATCCATCACGATGGTTTCCAGAGAGAATCACGAGGAGGTCGATCTGACCATATATTGCTAGCAATGGGGCTACTAATCCCCATTACGAACAACCCTTCTCGCCCCGAGCTTAGAAGCTTGCACTGTAAAGGATTTGATGTAAGAGTGGGAGCTGACGAAAGATAATTCCAATGTATGATGTTTTAGACAACACACAAGGAGATAGCCCTTTCAGACCAAAGATTTTTTTCTTTCAGATTAAATATATTTTCGTGTTTTGGAGCGAAGCCATCTTGCCGGCACGCACGAGACTACTGCACCACCTAACCGCTAAAATGATTTCTTATTGGCTGGTTTAGAATCTCACTATCATGTTATTTCAGCTTCGTGCGTAAAAATGAATTGCGCGCGGTTTTAGAATGTTTTAAAGTTACAACTCACGCCCGTATCGTTCAGGTCTGAAAGGGATAGGGGATTCTGAAGGTAAATCTCTCTCGGAGGTAATCTGGGGGCGAAGTCAAACAAAATCTTGTACAGGCAGGATAAGATTTTGAATTTTGCGTACGACCAATGAGTGGAACTCACTCCCTGCTTATGTTTTTTCATCCAAACATAACCTGTACCAATTTAAGCCAAATATGAATAGGCTAAGCGTGGACCCGCCAGCCCCATCTTAGACCACATCATCGCTTCCTATCAGGTGAGATCGTGATCAATCGTGGGACCTTTTACCAGAGGGAGACTTTGTACAAAAGTCGATTGCTTGGGTACCTCTGTCCAATTCGTGTTTCAACCGTGAAGCAGTTGTGTTTGCATGACTGTGTTTCGGTTTGAAGGGTGGGATATGGCGTGAATTTACTGGGTACAAAGGAATACATCTGAGTCCTCAGGAATGGCAACGCATGGGGGGTATCATGGGTGAAACAGTATACTCTATTATGTCCATGGTGCTGCTCATGTCTATGGGCGACGGTTACCGCTTTCCATCAGGTGGGCCGTCAGTTTGTTTGCCATTCTAAGTTGTATAAAAAGAAAATAAAAAGAGATCGTGATCAATCGTGGGACCCTTCAATAGTAAAAAAAAAAATATATATAATAAAAAAAATTACAAAGTAATAAATACTAGCTGTACAGTTTCAATCCTTGTACAAGGGCAACATAAAGGCAAAAGAAATAGGTCGTAGCTTATGTTGAGGTGGAAAAATCAAAGAGCCTTCGCACCTAATGAATTACAGATGAGGCACTCATCTGATTGGGCGGCCATCTTGGCTGAAAATCTGTGAAGCAGGTAAGCCTTCTTAGAGTTGTTATAGAAGTATAGAATTATGCCCGTGCCACGTTGTTCTTTTAAATATTTTTCTTAAATAATAATTTAAAAGTTTCAGAATGTTTTTTTTTTTTCGAAATTTAAAAAATACATATTGTTTAAAAAATCATTTGTTACATTTACGTTACTATATCTTTAAAGTCGATCAGAAAATTGTATAGAAAACAATTTATATAATAATATACTATTGTCTTAGATTATGTAGATAGTGTCTTCATATAAATGCTTCGAAAAAAAAAATAGGTCACTTTTTATACATGTATGTGTGTGATAGGGTTACCAGGTTAGAAATTATTACTTTACATTATGGTAAATAGGTGAAGGTCGTAACTTAAAATATTTGTATGTATTTAATGCTTTATAATATTTATGTTTATTAAATTTTTTTATTTTTTTTATACAACTTAGAATGGCAAACAAGCTGACGGCTCACCTGATGGAAAGTGGTAACCGTCGCCTATAGACATGAGCAGTAACATGGACATAACAGAGTATACTGTTTCGCCCATGATACCTCCCATGCGTTGCCATTCCTGAGGCGTAAGGTGTTATTCCTCTGTACCTTGTAAATTCACGCCATATCCCACCCTTCAAACCGAAACACAGCCATGCAAACACAACTGCTTCACGGTAGAAACACGAATGGGACAGAGGTACCCAAGCAATCGACTTTTGTACAAAGTCTCCCTCTTATTTATATCACCTCCCTCACCAGAGGGAGACTGTACAAAAGTCGTTTGCTTGGGCACCTCTTTCCCATTCGTGTTTCTACCGTGAAGCAGTTGTGTTTCGGTGTAAAAGGTGGGATATGGCAGTGAAATCACAAGGTACAGATGAATAACACCTGAGTCCTTAGGAATGGCAACGCATGGGGGGTATCATGGGCGAAACAGTATACTCTGTTATATCTATGGTACTGATCATGTCTATAGGCGACGGTTACCACTTTCCATCAGGTGGGCCGTCAGCTTGTATGCCATTCTAAGGTGTATAAAAAAAAAAGTATATTGTTGAGAAGTAGAACAACGGTGACGACGTTCAACACGAGCTTCCTGGACTGGCAGTAGGCGCTGTCTTTGGACGCCACCCTGATACAGTATATTGCTAGCAATGGGGCCACTGGTCCCCATTACAAATAATCGCCTCTCGCACTCTCTTTTTTCAGAAAGCGATGTATGTAGGTACCAGGAGATCATAACCGTACTAGAAGTTGACTTACCAACGGTGGTGAGAAGCATATTGTCGAGAAGTAGAGCTATGGCGACGATGATCAGCACGAGCTTCCTGGACTCGCGGCAGGCGTCGATCTTGGCGCGCCAGCCGCTTCCGAAGCCGTCGGACGCGACGCCCATGGTGGGAGGGTGCGGGGTGACTGGACCTGGATACATTGCAGAAGTTGTTATTTCTCATCCGTTATTAGAAGAATTAAATAGGAATAAAATTAAATAAAAATAAATATAAATAATTAAATGTTGTGCTACAAAAAAAAACTTAGATTGTAGCAAAACCAGTTCATCATATCAGAAATTATTCGTCCACTGCTGGACATAGGCCTCCCCCATATACTGCTATAAAGAACGGTCTTGAGCCACTTGCATCCAATTCCACATGCAAAACCAGTTACTTTTATTTAAAAACTAAAATACTGCACCGATTTTGTAAAACTTCTTTGGAACCTTTTTTTTTTTTTTTTTTTTTTTTTTTTCTGAATGTGTTTGCTGTTGGCCGTGTGTGGCCTTTACAGCTTTACCGGACGCGAATGCAGGGGCGAGTGCTGATGGCACTCCAAGCCCGCGATAGGGGAGCGACAGAGGTGTCGACTCTTTCTTATGGACTGCGGTGTGTGTGTGCGCCTAAGGGCGCCAGAGTGGCTCGGCCTCGGCTTAGGCCACCGCACTTCGACCCCCGTCGAGGGACGGCGAAGGGTCGGTACGTCTGGGTGGGTGAGATTGCGACGCGGTTGTTATGCGCTCGGGCGCAAACCTGATCGCGCGCGGACCGTGTGTCGCGAGGGTTCTTCGCCCCCGCCGGCGGGGGCGGTGTGTGCGATGTGTGGGTGTGTTTGTAGGGGCTCTTGTCGAGGGTTCCGCGGTAGGTAGGGAGGGAGACGCGTTTGCCGTCGTAGTTGGATCATCGGGGTCCAAGAGTGCGTGCCTCGGGCGACGACGTTTTGGAGCGACGTTCTCTATGGGGGGTTTGTATTTGACCGCTCTTACTATGAGCGGATTTGAATGGGACTCGGCTGAGGCGAAGTAGCGTCGAGACGCTTGCTTCATGAATTGCCTTATAGTGGGTATTTTGAGGTCGCGGTGTAGATCCACGTTGCGCACGTACCACGGGGCGCCCGTGGCCCGTCGCAGAAATTTATTTTGCACCACCTGAAGGGGGTGAAGTAATGAAGGAAGGGCGTGGGCGAAGACGACACTAGCGTACGTCATCACCGGTCTTATACATGCTTTATAGAGCGTCAGCTTTGCGTTGAGCGACAATTGGCTGCGCTTGTTAATAAAGGGATGGAGGCGTCCCAGTATAAAATTGGCCAGGCCTCGGACGCGCTTAAGATGAGATGCGAAACTCAACTTGGAATCTAGTGTCACGCCTAGGTATTTGGCTTCGTTCGTCCAGGGGACGGGCGTGCCAAACAGCTGAATAGAGGCGGGAAGGGATGGTTTTCTTTTGGCCGTGAAAAGTACGGCGGCGCTTTTATCTGGGTTGACTTCGATGCGCCATTTTCTGAACCAGTAGGCCAGCTCGTCCACCGCCCGTTGAAGCCTGTTGGCTGCACAGGCGGCCGACGTGCTGTCCACATATAGGGCTGTATCATCAGCAAAGAGGGCGATTTGCACTCGGGGCTGACGCGGGATGTCGTTGGTGTACAACGAGAAGAGGGTGGGGGAGAGGACAGCGCCTTGAGGGACGCCGGCTCTAATCGGTCGTGCGCTGGAACGCACTCCATTGACGCGATAGCGATATGACCTATTGGACAAGAAGGCTCGTATGATGTGCACGAGCCTGTCTGGCACTCCCATCTTGTGCAGTTTGAAAATCAAGCCGCTGTGCCAGACTTTGTCAAAGGCCTTCGCTACGTCGAGAAACAGGGCACATGTGACCCCGTTGGATTTCAGGTGTCGGGCGTTGAGGACGTGTTCTACTACACGATGTACTTGATGAACAGCTGAGTGCTTGGCTCTAAAGCCGAACTGCTCATCGATCAGGATGCCTTTGGACTGTAGCCAGTCTTTCAGGCGTGCGAGTATTAGCTTCTCATACAGCTTCCCCAGCGAGCTGAGGAGACTGATGGGGCGAAAACTGGTGGGAAGGGACTTATCTTTCCCAGGTTTGGGAAAGCCTACGACATCGGCTTCTTTCCAAGCATCTGGAAAGATGGCATTGGTAATTGCCGCATTGAAGATCGCTACTAGGAGTAGCAGAATGGTTTCTGGCAGACTCTTAAGGAGTCTGTTAGAGATACCGTCGGCACCGGGTGCCTTTCGGTTGGGAGTTCCTTTGATGAGTGTTCGCACCTCATCCAGTGTAACGGGGGGAGTGACTCTACTGGAGGGATCGACAGGATTCGCTCCACCTCGGATTCTACCTTCTCTAGATGATCATCGGGCACCGGAAGGGTGCTCGGCATGCATTGGGCCTCTAGGCTGTCTGCTAGGCATTCAGCCTTTTCTTCATCAAATATGGCCGGACTGTTGTTTGTTCGGACTAAGGGCGGAAGGTCGGAGTAACACTGGTCTGTTTTGATGGTTTTGGCTACTCGCCAGTACGCGGTATGGCAGGGGGTGAGTTCTTTGGTGAACTTATCCCATCTGTCTCGCCGAAGTTCCGCTATGCGACTCTTTACTTCGCGCTGTAAAGCTCGCAGGCGGGTTCGGTTCTCTTCTGAGGGATAGCGGTCATACGCTCGTGTGGCTGCATTCTTAGTGCGCAGCAGAGCCCTTACATCATCAGGCAGGTTCCATCTACGGTCGCCCGTATCCGGAACCTCCCTGGAGCAGTCCTTGACTGCCGACTGCAGGTGCTCTGTTAGCGCGTCTATGGCTGTAGTCGTCTCCTCGATAGATTCGACTACGTCCGGGATGCGGTCCAGTACCGGAGAGTTAGTCGACTCGAGGACTTTCTCGAGCCGGCTCCAGTCCGTGACCGTTTTAAATTGAGGCGCCCCGTCTGCAGGTGGGCCTAGCGAGAATGTGACGGGGCGGTGGTCGGAGATGAGTTCGGCATGGACCTCCATAGAACTCAGCCTTAAGGCTACGTTCTTTAGTAGGGCCATGTCGAGGATGGAGTCTTTGGAACCATCTCATATCATTATATTTATATGATAGAAATTATCCTACTTTCAAATAAATAAAGATTTTTCCAAATCGGTTTACAAATAACGGAGTTAGGAGGTAACAAACAAAATATTGCCAAAGTTTTCCCAAGAGACTACAGCATGGGGTTCTTCAAAAGGGAAAATAAAGAGATTTCTTCAGGGTCGGCAACGCGCGCGTAATACCACTGGTATTGCAGGCGTTCATAGGCTACGGTAACCGCTTATCATTAGATAGGCCGTATGCTTGTTTGCCACCTCAGTGACATAAAAGAAATATACCCGAATTGTAAACCTTCTTTGCGATTGCCAACCCACCTGCCAAGCATGGCAGCTACTGGCAGAACTTCCCAAAGAGGAGGTCTATGTTCAGCAATGAACAGCTAGTGGCTGACATGATAATTATGATGTCCATGTTAATGTTTAAGAAATCGAGATAAATTTTTGTCATTCTTTGAACGTTGACTTTTTCACGAAGCGATTGAACTCAGACCATACGATTCGGATCAATGCAAAAATTTATATTTTTCCCCATAAAAAAAACTTACTTTTTTATGCAACTAAGAATGGCAAACAAACTGACGGCCCACCTGATGGAAAGTGGTAACCGTCGCCTACAGACATGAACGGTACCGTGGACATAACAGAGTATACTGTTCCCCCCATGCGTTGTCATTCCTGAGGACTCAGGTGTTATTCCTCTGTACCCTGTAAATTCACTACCGTGTCCCACCCTTCAAACCGAAACACAGCCATGCAAACACAACTGCTCCACGGTTGAAACACGAATGGGATAGAGGTGGCCAAGCAAACGACTTTTGTACAAAGTCTCCCTCTGGTAAAAAACCTACTTCAGTTGTGACAAACCCAGTTATTTTGAAGTAAAAATTAGACTGCTAAACCCATTTTGATAACATTCCTATGGAACCAATCTGTAAGTTAATCCTTTTAGATAAAAAAAAACATATTGCTTTATAACTGCCTATTTCTATACCATTAAATCCCCGTAGTCGCCTCTTACGACACTCACTGGAAATAAAGCGGTAGCCCATTCCCTGCCGGGACCACAAGGCGATATTAAGTAAGGACATATGTATGAAATTGATCCACGGAAATTACATGATCATCCAAACACAAAGTCATACAATACCCGATCCAAGCAAGCAAATAAGCGAAGCCATACGAAGTGTATTTAATAGGTAAATGGGTTGCCGTAAACAGAACTAAATTAGGTAATACGACGCCATACTTCCCAACACGTGTTGTTAACGTGACTGGTGATTTTACTCCTCAAATACACAGACAGGCGTGAATTTACAGGGTACAGAGGAATAACACCTGAGTCCTCAGGAATGGCAACGCATAGGAGGTATCATGGGCGAAACAGTATACTCTGTTATGTCCATGGTACTGCTCATGTCTATAGGCGACGGTTACCACTTTCCATCAGGTGGGCCGTCAGCTTGTTTGCCATTCTAAGTTGTATAAAAAAAAAGATCAAAATCATGATAATGATATCAGCCGTGCTGTCCACAGCTGAACATAGGCCTCCTCTTTGGGAAGTTCTGCCAGTAGCTGCCACACTTGGCAGGTGGGTTGGCAACCGCAGTTAATCTCACGATGAGCTAACTGACCTGCCTTTTCATCCTTACCTATTATGTGTCCCTAGTACCCCACCAGCGTGTACGGTTAGCGCAGGCGGAGTTACTATTCCATTATCATCCATTAAAAAAACCGCAAATAGTCTTTGGTGATGTGTTAAAAGGGACGCTGCTGCGCATTCCTGAACCGTTAGGTTCCCTTAGTCTATTCTTACGACACTCACGGGAAAGGAAGATGGTTTACTGTATTATTAATATTTCCCGAGAAGCTCCCCCATTGTATATACCATGCAAACGACTTTTCTGCAGTTCGCCCTCCTTCTTCTTCTTCCTACCTTTACCCCAAATTATTATTTGCAATCAGCGTAATATATTTCTCTTCCATTCTTCTCTATTCGCGATCACTTTTGCATTCACTTCCATTCTCGCCATATTGTCTTTTACACAGTCCATCCT